GAGCGATCGGCCCGAATGGAATGAAATTCCTTTGTAGGCAAACACAGGAAAGGTCCTGCTTCCTTTTTTTTCTCACCGCCCTAACTCTCCGCTCGCTCGGTATACAAAATATTTGTCCAACCGGTGAACGCGTGTAATTGAAATGGCCTCGTGTACCTTTCTTCAAAAGAAACCAGATTTCATTGCGAAAATGTTCCTTCCTTCCTTCCTTCCTTCCTTCCTTCCTTCCTTTCTTCCTTCCCTTCTTCTTCCTTTCCATCATACACACGGAGGCATTTCATTTTCCTCGGGACAGAGGCGTTTTAACCTGATTTCATCCCGGTCGACGCCTGCTTTACCGTACCGCCCATTAGATCATACCCGTAATTTCGATCCCTACCGCCCTCGCGAGTATGCCTGAAAACTTCCATTTCAACTTGCCCCCGACTTTACGCGAGTAGTTCAGTTCGTGACACTTTCTAATTATCCACCGACTTTCACCGTACGAATCGACCGTTTTCTTCCAGTACCACCAGATATACTGAGCACCGGAACGTCGGAGGGTGAGGTCTCCGTTTTAGAGGGTGAGAACGCCACCCTCTCGTGTAACGCCTCTGGAAGACCGTCACCTCGTGTGCTCTGGCGACGCGAGAAAAGTGGTTTCATACTTATGAGGGGTCTTCACGATCCGCTGATACCAGGTAAGATATTACATTTTTATCTCGCCTCGAGCACTCTCTCGCGACCGTCCTTGCCGGTGACAAATAACCTTCGATTCTCTTCTTTTTATTAATTCGCCGCCCGGCCTCTCCTCCATTCTTGGCCCCCGGTCTCTTTCGCCACTCTTTTCAAGAGAAACAGCCGATGCTCGATCTGTCGCGGTTTCAACCACTTCCGGGAACTAATTATCCGAGACGTCTGTCTCGGCTCCCCGTCACGATCCGCTTAGCGGAACATGAGGACATCGTAAAATCGCAAACCTACGTGATGCCGTTCCAAAGCAATTAGTTTCTCCTCGATGACTTTCAATATCTTTCCACGGGCAGGTACACCAGCTCCTTCTCCCTTTGGCCGGGGTACGCAAATGTCGCGGCGACTAAACGGTCCGCATTTTTCGCTCGGACGCGCTGCAAATTCGCGTTGATCGAGCGAGATATTAATGGAACAAATTCTCTCCCCGTGAACGCGGTCTTGATAAATCGATACGCAATATTTTGAGTACGGTTGGCGCGTGTTGCAGCCGAACAAAAATATCCACCGGGCCGGAGGGAAGGGAAGGGGAGAAGGGCTCGCGGCGAGCTGTCGGCGCAAATAATGAATCTTCCATTTTCGATGGATCTCATTAGGCACGTGACACGTTTTATCGAAATCGCGCGCGCGAAATGCCGCGGTGATTTATGTCGTACGGCTCCCTTCGATAATAATGTAATTCGCCGTTCATTCCGAAACCGTTTCAGATATGATAACGGAATATTACGATACGCTCGACGTGTATACATACATACATACGTAGGATTGTCAGGTGTGTTTCACGTCCAACAACCGCGCGTTTCTTCCTTAAATGGTTCGTCCGGTAGTCGGCCCGTTAATCGTGCGAACGGTTTTCGAACGGTCAGGTATTTAGGGTTGTAGGTAGCCGGCGTGGCGGTCTCGTTGTTTTAACGCAAAGGGCGTATTTCGCGTGTAATTTGGTGTACGTGCGAACGCTGGCTCGAGGCCAGCGATATGTATACGAGAGCTTTCAACCAGATATTCATACGAGGCGGGATTTTATAGTGGACAACCAGTCCGGCGAGAAGCTCGAATTAACCAGGGTAGACAGGAGGCAAATGGGGGCCTATCTTTGCATAGCCAGAAACGAAGTGCCCCCGGCAGTCAGCAAGAGGGTCTATCTAAGGGTAAACTGTGAGTACATTCGCGGTAATCGATTCTACTTCGCCAAATATCGTTACTCTCTTCCTTTGCACAGGACTCTCTCGATAATACCGTACCGGTCGACGACAACCTAATTACGATCTCTTTGACTTTATCGAAATTTCAGTTCCCCCCAGCGCAAAAGTATCCAATCAATTGTTAGGCTCTCCACTGGACACGGACGTGTCGCTCGTCTGTTTGATAGAGGCTTATCCGAAGACGATCAACTTGTGGACTAGGAAGGAGCAAGTTATCATGAGCGGGTACGTTTCTTACGTTTCCACCCAATTTCGTGTAGTAAAGTTAAACGATCTGTGAACACACAGCGGTAGATACGAGATCGACGAACGGGGACATCCGGACGAGGAATGGAAGACAACGAGCGAGCTGAAGATAAGACGTTTGGAGAAAACAGATTTGGGAGAATACACGTGTTCGGCGTCGTCAAGTATGGGAAAAGCGGAAGCTACCCTTAGGGTGTACGGTGAGTGTATGCGACCGGCGAACGCGTCATTTTTCGACGGCTGTTATTCCACGGATTTCTCCCGTATCGAGCCGTGGGGATGGATAACCGATAAACATTCGAGGGGAACTGTTTTACAGAGATCGAACGAGCCACGCCGCCCACCCGTGCCACGTCTGCGAGCTGGAAAAAATTGAGCAAGGGAAAATCAAAGTTCGCTCAGGTGACCACGATCAATCGAGTTTTCCATCAGATGAGCACACCGGCGATGCAGAAGAGCACCTCGAGAATCATCTACAGCAAACACATGACAACGTCGACGACGGTGGATCCACGGGCGCCTTTCATCAAAGACAAGAACGTGTTTAAGAATCGGGAGAACCCGAACCTGAGGAATTGCGCGGACGTGAAAATCGGCACGCGACTCTGCGCCTTCTCCCTCCTCTTCTTCCTCATCCTGCGATAAATCTTTCCAACGAACGTACGGTGAAAGCTTTTTATGATCGCGAACGGACGAACGATCGCGAAAGTTTGCAAACACCGCACACCGATTACCATATTTCTGCACCGACGATAAAGAGAAGGAATCACGACCTCCAAGCTTTAATCGAACACCGGGGGAACTTCTTATTGCGTTTCAGCGAACAAATCAATCTCCCCTCCCTCTCTCTTGCCGCGGTGCAATGCTGTTGCGAATTTTAAAAGATGAATGCTTACGAATGTATTTTTTATGACCCTTTTATCCGTTCGTGAACGCGGGAAAAAGAGTAAAATGTCGTGAGCAAGATGTGTTCTTTGGTTGGACTAAATGTAACGTTATCGGATATTTTTTTAAAACAACGAGCGATCGAAGCGAACAAACAGCGATCGAAGGGACGAAAGGCAAGATGAATTTTTCGTTCAAACGATTCGTGTAATTTCTCATTTGTAAATCGTTATTAGGGAGAGAGTATTGCCATGTAATTTTTATAATGTTAGCGTCGAAAGCCTTACACAGATGCAGGGTGTCTATTCTCAAGTGGGCCACCAGTGTCATTCACGAGATATGTATATCGTCGAGTTCGAGAAACTTACGGCAAGTGATACGCACACTCTCCAACCGATTATCCACGCTTCGGAATTATTTCAACGATGGCAGTGGCGATCCGATCGAAATGAACATCCCTTGTATAAATATCGTTACGTCGAAACTAACTATCATCATCAACGATTTATTGTGTACTCCACCTTCTCCTAGATTCGCGACGCGAATCGACACCCTCTTTAATCAAACTATTCGATTATACTCGAACACAGACAAATAATTAGCATACTAATTTGTACGTAAGGGGTAATAATATAATATCTTTATTTATCGGTACGATAACAGAGTGAACTGAGATCGTAAGTGGCATCTCAACGAACGTTAAAACACGTGTCATATCTAAAAGTCAGATTCATATCCGTAGGGCGTAATAGTATCGTACTATATGTATATTTTAGGAAAACACTAGACCTTACTTTTATTATTTTCGGTATTTTTTTAAATTACCCGTAGCCAACAAGTAACGTACCTCATATGCCAACGATTAAACGAGACCACAATTGATAAATGTATAATTCACGTGAATATGGTTAAACTGCGTGGAATTTACAGCGATTCGAATCGTTCGATTACGCACGATCGCAAACTCCTTTGGTAGCGTAAACGAACCAATGCCTCCTTACCTATTCACCGTAACTATTCTTTCTCTTTCTTTCGAGGAATCGACAATAAGCGTTCCTAGTTGATTGTGGTTCGTGTCGTTTCCCAATGGTCCTCGCAAAACCGCAAACCATATCTTACTCTGTAATTGCGATCTGTGTTGCGAAACGGTGCGAGCGTAGAGAAGAGTCGACGTTCTTCGCCTAGCTACAATTTTCAAATCAAGAACGTCGATGCTTTCTTCATCGCACCCTTGCTGTCGTGAATGTCTTCTATTACAGAGTACAACTTTTTAGTCTGATGCGTGGTTTATTGTCATTGAAATAATAGTAGCATATCCGCGAAATAAACGCAAAACAACACACATGTTAAATATATCTATTTAACGAATACTGTATATCGTAAAACACTGCTCAATATAACGACTCTACAATAACTATATTAAAAAAAATGTTGTTGTTTATAGAAAGGAGAAAAAAAAAAGTATATTATGAGAATATGGTGAGAAAATGTGCTCAAATTGGGTAATTATATAGCTTTGGAGAAAACAACGTGTTGACAAATAAAACATACCATGCAAGTAATTAAAATGTTTGTCGTTTCCTTTTATTTTCAATTGAACTTCAAAAGTTCCATTTGTTGTTTCTTTTCATGGCTTAATTCGGGTAAGTAATGTAATTTGTAGTAAAGAAACATGCTTACTTTTTATTTACATTTGATTCCATCACATTTAAAATTGACATAGAGTTACATATTATGGTTCGGTATAGTCTGTCACATTTCACCATCCATTTATAAATTTTACGTCCAAAATAAGATACTGAAGGCCATTAAAAGGCAACTAACTGCCACGTACGGGCTTTTCCTCTCACCCAGCCGTGCACACTTCCAAAAGGTACCTTTGAAACTAATTAATAGTATATTAATAGTAATTTGCAAGGCTTTCGTAGTCTTTTGAAATATACATACCCAACTTTCCCTAACCGATTGTCCAGTAAAGTGGGCACGATAGATCTAATATAGGTACAGGTACATATCAGTAATAAAATTACCGTCACGAGGCTCTGAAAATTAAATAGGGCGGACTACATGTCCCCCAAAGGGTTAACGTTAGAAAAAATTGTCTAAATCACTGCACATTCTTGCAAGTAACCAGAAAGGTTATGATAAAGTTACCGGTTGTTCATAACCGTACGTTCTGTTACTCAAAATTCAAATTACAAGTTTAAAAGACCAACGTCTTACCATTGTGATTTAATAATAACGAATTATTACACGAGATTATTCTAAAAAAGTTACTTTACACCCGAGTGATACTCAATTTGACGTATATCAAAACAGAATTCCGCCATTTCTGAAGGTGAATATGCAAGAAACGAAAAAGTTAAAAAAGGCACTAGCGTTTAACGTGTTCATAATCGTGTACGTTTGTAAAATAGTTACAATTTTTTATATTTTTTCTTTTAGATTAATTTTACGTTATAATTTACAGCGAAATTCATATTTGCTATAAGAACAGCGACGGTAATATTTAGTAACAAGTACAATCATCGCTATCGAACTGTCTGTATAAGTATATTATCAATGGTGTATTATTTATAAAAGTGCTTTTAAAAGTATCGGGCCGTGTTCGATGCACAGAAATCTTGTTCTTCGGTTAGATGATACATGAACGGCTGTAGAAACATGTCGTGAACATCTAACAGAAGTTGAGAGATTTAAACGACAAGTAAGATCCGCTGCCTGTCTATATTCTGCGGTCAACGCGTGCAGTAGTAAAATGGCTGCCGAGAAACGTCAATACATTTTATATCAATAACAGCCTATATACTTTTGTAAATAATCGTGGTAAGGAGGGTCGCAATAAAACGGATGCCGTTCAATTGATATTTTTAGTTTTTTTTTTTCATAATCGTGTGTATGAAGGAGTGCGTGTGAATCGAAAATGGCAGAATTTGTGCGCGGAGGCCCGAGCGTGTCGAACAGTGCTAAGGTATGTACGGGTATTATTCATCTTAGATTATTCATCCGTTATCGTGTCGTCGCTTAAAATACCGAGAGTTAAATCAATTCAAATCGATTGTAATCGCGCGTTCGAAACTTTATAATAACTTCCAGAGTTCTGAAAGTTTCCGGAGATTCCCGAGAATTTTTTTCAATATTTTCCCGAAAAACTACTTGCTTGGTATCGTTTACAGACAATCTTATCGATAAGTTTCTACCTTGCGAACAAGTAAAAAATATCAAAAGTTGTAGGTGTAAAAAATTATAAGCAGATATTCGCACATGGTATTTACGTTTTGTTGACAGAAATATATGTCGCATGTATTGTACTTGGAATAGTATATACATGTATTATATGATATACGATAAAAACAAGTAGTATCGTCGCCTTTTCTGTTGCATATTAGCCATTTTTTTTTTCCCATAAAATTCAGGTGTATTTTTTTCAGTTCAAATGGGAAGTAATTAATATTTATTTTTATATAACTGTACCTACAGATGGATCATAATAGCAAAGGAGGGTCCCCCAGCACTGGTAGTGAAGATGGTGGACAGAATGAATCTATGAATGCAGAAAATGAGTTTGATCCTTTTCTTGAGAATATACCAGATGATATTCAAGATACTGAAGAACCTGATAGCACCAATGCAACATTGTTAACTGCCCCTCCTGAAAATCAGTGAGACTTGGAACTAATGGAAATATTTTCTTTTCATTTCAAGTTTAATCAATGTGAACTGATTGATATGTTGATATTTTATAGGTGGTATCATGGTAGATTAGATAGATTTACTGCAGAAGAAAGACTGTGGGATGCAAGTAAAATGGGTAGTTATCTAGTGCGTGAAAGTGATAGGAAGCCCGGAAGTTACGTATTGTCCTATTTGGGCAGAACTGGCATTAATCATTTTAGAATTACAGCTGTGTGTGGAGATTATTATATTGGTACGGCGATTGAAATGTGAATGGAATAAACATTCCTTGTTAAAATTACTTTGTAAAGCAATGTATGTATTGTTGTAGGAGGCAGACAGTTCAATAGCTTGTCAGACCTTGTTGCATATTATACTCATTGCTCGGATCTTTTAAAGAGAGAAAGACTTATACACCCTACTCCACCCCCTGAACCAGTGAATGATAAGAAACGAATAGTTGCAATATTACCATATACAAAAATGCCCGACACAGATGAGTTAAGCTTCCAAAAGGGTGACATATTTTTTGTGCACAATGATATGGGAGATGGTTGGCTATGGGTTACTGCTCACAGAACGGGTGAACAGGGCTTAATCTTCCGCGAATTAGTGGAGGATTTGGATGATTCCATTGATCCTAATACTGTCTTCTCTTGGTTCCATCCTAATGTCACCAAAAGTGAAGCTGTTGATATGTTAGTGAAAGCAGGACCTGGTAGTTTCTTGGTAAGTTATATATATATGTAAATAATATTCCTGATTGAAAATAACAACACTTTGTTTCATTACTCAGGTCAGGCCTTCAGACAACAGTCCAGGAGATTATTCACTTTTCTTTCATATAAACAACCAAATTCAGAGATTTAGGATCGAAAAAAAAGGAGTCCGCTATTTAATGGGTGGTAGAACATTCGAATGTCTCGATGCTGTTATAAATAGGTATAATGCTTTATCCTTTAAATTTTTAAGTTTACATATTATCGTTAAACTTATCTTCGTAGATATCGGAAAGAGCAAATAGTCGAAGGTCATACTTTAGTTCAAGCAATGGTGACTGAACCTGATGGTAGTGTAAGGGTTAATAGAGAGGTACAACATGCGGAAAAGATATATGCAACTCTTAGAGAGTGTCGTGAACAATCTGGCGCAAAGAAAAATAAAGGAATTAAAATGCAAGGATATTTAGAAAAGAAATCAGAAAAAAATAAAAAGTGGAAAGCGTTGTATTTTGTACTTTTAGTAGATGCTACTGATACTCATTTGTATTTATATGACAATCCAAAAAGGACCAAACCGAAAGGTCTTATTGATTTAAGCTGTGCTTATTTATACCAGGTAGAGATCAAGTTTTATGGCTTTTCTTCAAATTATTTCGTGTATATAATCCTATCAGTTAACAAACTCTGTTATCTGTGAAATGTGTATCCTATATGTCTAATTGTACTAACATTGACAGAAGATTATCTTAATCGCGTGTATGGAAAATGTATATGTTAAGTAACAAATTGTTGCCAAGGTTTCTTCCTGAGATACAGTTTTTTTAGGTTCATGAAAGCGTGTTCGATAGGCCTCATTGCTTTCAATTAGTTGAACGTGCTTTACCATGTTTGGCCACGATAACGTATTTGGCTGCCCCAAATTCAGAGAATGCTTTAGACTGGATTAATGCCTTGAAACCATTATGTGTATCACAACTTACCCGTGCTCCGAAGGTTGCTCGCCTTCGTGAATTGCGTTCATTACATCTGCATATATTAGACGCACATAGACTTCCATATAAATTAGTACCAAACCCATTCATCATAGTGGCCCTAAACAATGTAAAAGTTGCTCGCACAAAAGTTAAGACTGGATTACATCCAATTTGGGATGAAGAATTCATTTTAGAGTATGTATATATGTATATATATATAATATAATTCGTTGTGCAAAACATATTTATTGGTATGCTTGAAGAACACTTACCGTAAATTATTTCGCAGGGATGTACCACCGGATGTTATGTCATTTTCTTTAACATTGTACAATAAAGGGAAACGTAGTAAGGATACAGAAGTGGCAGAATTAACCGTCGAATTAGCAAGTTTGACGAATGGAGAAGAAATGGATGAATGGTATCCGTTGTCAGGACTTACTCCTATAGGTGAATGGGGTGTACTCCGTTTACGAATAAGGTAAAAACATAAATACACGTGACCACATACACGTTGAATTTTGAGTGCCAAATGTTATTGTGTCTTTTATGCATGTATCAAAATTGCAGATATCGGCACGATCTAGCGATGCCACCGGAAGAATATAGTCCGCTACAACAGTTGCTATTGGATCCAGAACTGCATGTTGTTAGGGCATTAGCGGATGTGTGCCACTTGGACAGAGTACCATTGGCAAATAGTTTACTTAGAATATTTAGGTATGAAGGAAACGAAAGAATGTTGACTATTATTGTTTTTGTTTAACGATAAAAATGCGCAACATTTAACATTTGTGTGTGTGTGTGTGTGTGTTTAGGCACGAAAGAAAAGAAGCAGACCTCTTACGATCGCTAAATCAAGCAGAAGTATGTTGCTTTATATTTACATTTGTTAAAAGACCAAAAAAAAAGGGGTTACATTTTCTCTTTATGAAAAGTGTGTAATGTTTTATTCAGGTGGATAAGGAAGATGAAACACCAACGCTGTTTAGAGCTGCCAGCCTTACGACTACTTTAATGGATTTATATATGAAATCAGTTTGTACCTCGTTTTTGAAAGCTGCGTTACGCGACACTATAGTAAAATTGATTGAAAGTAAACAGAGCTGTGAATTAAATCCAACAAAAATGGATTCTCCAGAAGATGCATGCAGTAATGCAGAGTTTTTACTGCAGGTAAATAAATACACGTCGATATTATAAATTATTCGAAACGATTATAACGTACGATCAACATTATTTTAGGTTTTAGACGAAGTGACATTGAGCATTTTTACAAGTCCGGATGCGTGTCCAAGGACTTTGAGATATATTTGTGGATGTCTGCAAAGAGCAGTTGTTGCCAAATGGCCACACGAAAGACTAGTCAGAACGCGAGTAGTCAGTGGATTTATATTTTTACGCCTGCTCTGCCCTGCCATATTGAATCCTAGGTCATTTAATTTAATAGCTGAACCACCACCTCCAGCAGCTGCAAGGTAGGGTAGGTCTATATTAAACGTAAGAATTTTTATAACCATATAAATTGTCTTTTAATCCTCGTTAAACACTTCTATAGGTCGTTAGTAATGGTTGCAAAATGTTTACAAAATTTGGCTAATTTGGTAGAATTTGGCGGTAAAGAACCGTATATGGAAGTAGTCAATCCATTTATTCTTAAAAACAAAGAGAGAATGGTTGTTTTTCTGGATCAATTATCTGTAAGTAATACGTGATAAAATGAAAACAAAAAAAAAAAACATTAAAACAACTTCGATTTGCACGACAGAACGTAACCGAGAAACCAGAATCCGAAGGTGCAGATCCAAGGAACAGGAGTTGCGTTTCAGATACAGCAAGGGATTTGGCAACGCTACATCACATTTGCGTTTCTCATTTGAAAGAACTTCAAGTTCTGTCGAAAACACAGGTATATCTGTTGTAATGTTTGATACTCACGTAATATGTGTTCGATAATCGTATTACACATGAGTATTTATTCGTAAATATGTTATTTTTCTAGCCGACGATAAAGCAATTAGTGACCGTGACTGAAATGTTAAGCAAACATAAACAAAAGTACATGGAAATGATACGGTAGTGCTAAAGCCACACGCCATGAACAATGCCAAACGTAACAAAACAATTCATAAGATTTGACGACAGATACACGGTAGTATTTAATAATTACTCTTAAGTGGTTTAAGTAATTAAACGTACAGACTGACGTGCCATATATATATACACACACACGCGCGCGCACACACACGTGCATATACACACTGTATACACACAAGCCTACATTTACCATTTCGTATGTAATTAGAAGATAGCTTATACGTATAGTAAACAGTACCATGACAGTGATATAGTTACATAAAGAATCATATAGGCGTATAACGATTTTATATTTACCTAGGTGCTCGAAAATAAATGCAAATTAAACCAAAAATATTACGTATATGTATACATATAAAATTCCTTCCTGTCCTTTGTTTACATGGTAAAAATTGATCAATTTACTAAAAACGGGTTAAAAAATTACATTTTTTGTACGTATAAATGATTTTTTTTATTAACTTTAATTATTTTATAAACTACTTATTACATTTGTATCGTTGCTATAGTTTTAACATGCCATTAAATGACAAATACCTTGTTAAATTTAAGATCCTAGTCAGTTAATACAAAAATTCTTAGAAAATCTGTTAACAAAAATATATATTAAATATCAAGATAAAAAATTAAGATGCATATGCACAATAACATTTGACAGATTAATATGTGTTTTAATGTTCGGGCAGTGTATAAATGATGGTACTATGTTACGGTTATGAAGTAAATTGTTTTGAATAAGGCTATTTTTAATAATGAATAAGATATATCGAATCGTTACAAATTTATTTTCAGCTGTAATTTTCGAAACAAATACTATACCGAACTCATGAGCATAGGAGTATTGAATTAAAAAGAAACATTGCTTTATAATTTGTACTTAGTGTGTATCTTCTTGGTATGATATTTTTCAATCGAATAATGTGCTTTGAATAAAGGAATAAAATATATTAAACATTGTACGTACCCGTTTAATTTTTTTTCAATACACGCGAGCAACAGTTGTTCACACTGAATGTATAGAATTACGTAGAACGTGACATACAGATGTATGAACTTCGATTTAAAAATTTTATCTTTCAATATTTTAGGACCGTTTGATTTCGATAACATCATTCTTTTTTGTTTTTCTTTATACGAAACATTGTAAGAATAAAGAATTTGTCGATTGCTCTTTCAATGTTATAAAACCAAACAGCATAGATGACCTACAATTAATATTTGAAGACAATCATTCAAGATAGAACGAATATAAAGAACATTTTTTTGTACAAAGTTTTATTACGAATTTGAACTACATAATAATAATAACACCTATGCTGTGCAATTTTATATATACACATTTTCAATATTTGAAAAAGCTAGTATTACAAATTTGCGCGTTTACATACATAAGAATATTTGCAAATTGTACTATTTAGATCATGTAGCAAAGTATTTAACCCTTGATTGTTCAAAATCCAGTCAGACCCGAGACATGATCGTGTATATAAGCGGAATACTAAAACTGTCTCATGAAAAATTTGTATAAATTTTGTAGAAAAAATTAACTGCTTATTTGTATTATAGATTCATGTCTCGATGAAATGAGATGGCATTATTGTCTGAACAAATATCAAAGTGTATAATCACACCAAAAGTTTACAATTGATATTTATTATGCCTTAAAATGACAAATATACTTCACATTGTATAATCGTGATTAAATAACGAAAAAAAGAGACAAAGATATGGAAATGGCGAATTAAAGAGATACAAAAATGTGACCAAATGCGGTATCTCTTTGTAGTCTAAATATGTACGTAGGTATGATTAGACATTTAAATATCAATGTAAACTTTTACTTCGTTTTGCACGATCCTTAAATTATACTTTTTTATGAGTTTTTAATTCTACATTGAAACAACGATAATTGTTAAAAATGACGCTTACAATCGTACGATAATCAAAATAAGTTCGTACCTACCAATCTTTCCTTACTGTAAACGTACAAAAACATTGCTATAGAAATTAACCTCTAATCGTGTTATTTTCTATATGTGTAAGGAATATCGAGTATACGTTTTTAATTGCACTAAAAAAGGAAACACGAACGAACCTATGTACTCTTAAAGTGGTAAATAGGCGTTTATGTGAAAATTGCATACTTAATCACAGTAATATCTAACTAGCATGGCATGCTTAAGATTATTTAATCACAGCACAAAATGAGTTATCCACATTTTATTTCTTTGAGTTTATGGCTTGTATCTTTTTGTTTAGGAAAATGGAATTTTTTTTGTTTGTTTTTTAATACACGTAGTAAAGTGTAGAAGTAACAATGATTGAAAATATATTTAATTAACGAATAAAATATACGTCTAAAATTATAGTCTACCTGAAGTGGAATATGTAAAAAAATATGCACAATGGAATTCATTAGATTTGACGAATTGTGTAGTTTTTGTATCCACACTACCTAAAACTATGCAATTCTTTCACTGAATAATACTTTCTCCATACTTAACAATAAAATAAGTGGATGGCCTGAAAAATATATTTTTGATACTGACTATTCTATGCAATCAAGGGTTAAAATTCTTCTGCTAATGGAATATTAAGAGTTATATGGCAGACCGTTGAACAAACAATGTATTTTACGAAGTTTAACTTGAAGAGTAAAAATGTATACGATATAATACAATACTATTACATATTTTGTTCTTTTTCCCTCCCAATGTATAGAAAAAATCGTGCTTGTAATTTATTACAATATTCTATAGAGGAAGCTGCAAAAATGTGCGTAAAGTGAACATAATCTAATGCTTTTTACAATCTATTTTCATATTAATGTATTGAATGAGAGAATTAATGTTATCATGTGATTTAAAGCAAACAGCATCGATGTCTCCTACGGCTCGAGTTACCTGCCTTCATACGTTTTTTTTTCTCTTTACCTCTATGTTCTTTGTCTTTCCGTATTTCTCTCACCTATAATTTACGAATTGTATTCCAGAGAAGAAAAAATAATAGAAAGAAAATTGCTGCTCTGTATATTGTTATACAATATATTTCTCAGAAATATTGTTTTCGTTTAATTCTTGAAGTAAGCATTTGAGATAAGCATTTAGATATTATTATTATATTTATACGTATATATTTACTTACCAGAGTATAAAAAGCATCGTCTACTCCCATCCTAGTCTTGGCAGAAGTTTCAACAAAAGGCACACCATACTGACGGGCAACTTCTCTCGCTTGCGTCATATTCACTGCCCAAGATTGTTGAAGATCACACTTATTTCCTACCAATACCATTGGTACTTCTTCCGCATCTTTCACTCTTTTTATTTGTTCCCTATACGTCCCTATATCCTACAACATTAAGCACGTACCGCTATCATTTCAAAGTTTGCACGAAAAGTACAAGACTTGTGACAACCGGAGAGTGTACATACTTCGAAACTTTTAGCCGAATTTACAGCAAATACTAACAAAAATCCTTCCCCAGTCCTCATATATTGGTCTCTCATTGCACTGTATTCTTCTTGACCAGCTGTGTCTAATATGTCTAAAAGGCATGTCTCCCCATCTATAACTACCTGAATTAAAGATATTTCATGTAAATATATTCCAGAATAATTGTTCATCGTCACACCACAAAGACTTACTTGTTTCCTATAAGAATCTTCTATAGTGGGATCATATTCGTCTACAAAATGATTTTGTATCAGTTGAATTGTAAGTGCAGATTTGCCAACACCTCCAGCTCCCACAACAACGAGCTTGTACTCTGTCATTATGTAATTTCTATTCCAATGTGAATTAAAGCTTTGAACGTAAAGCTGCAATTGCTTCTTGTCTAGAAGGTAAAAGATCTGTTTTCACTGAAATGTGTGATAAATTTGAAAAAAGTATAATTGAATTAAACAGGAGAGAAATGTAGGTGAATGTAGGGTTAACGAGTGCTGATCTGTCAGAAAATCGCAACTATTTGTCACGGGACAGATAAAAAAAGATCGGTACATTTTGAGGAATTTTGAGGAATTTCGAGCGATGATTCTTTGTTGAGTCGTTCATCAGAATCATGTTGATAAATTAATTCTGTGACTAGATCGTTACGAGCAATACGTACTCTGTGAGCAATAATATGCGCCAAGTTCGTATGCACTTTAGTACGATCGGTCCTTAAGTCACTTATATTTTTAATTCGCCGATGAACATTGTAAGTTTGAAGGTAATGTACGGTGACTTAACAACTTAAAAACAGAACGAGTGTGGCACGCAAGCACACCCAATAACATTACCGTAGAAACATGTGGGTAGACGTAACTGATGATTAAAGATAATCACAATAGAACCTACAGTGTACACCTTTCAGAAGGTGATTAAATTAGAAAAGAGAGCATTTAACAAATCTTTCGCTTCGAATTCTTCGAATTACTGATGTTTAATGGGAGGTGTTTCCAAGTAAACATCGAACGAACGAGCGATGCTATCGATGCGAAAATAAACTTTGTTCAAGTACGAAACTTTTTCCATCTTCGTACATGGCCTTACCAAAGTTTACTATGAATTAGTCACTGGAGAAACCATCTGGAAAGAAGCATCAGTGATGCCAATGTACAAAGTCTCAATGACGTACTGTATGCATCTCGAGGGTGTGGATCAAAGGTTAACAGAATTTTTGTTACATCGAAAAGGGATAAGAAGTTGAGTTAGTCGCGTTTAATTGTACTTTATTTTACAAATATCTATCGAAATGTGATATCCCGATTAAACAAGCACGGAGCTTTCAGAAAGTAAGGACATTCGGTTCTTCCGTAAACATAGTCGATAGGGATAACGGCAGCTTTTTCTTCGACCAATCAAAGGCGACCTTTAGTTTCGCGATGTCGCTTCACGCAAGCTCGGTTCTTCACGCACTTGTTGAAAGTTTTCAACGCGATTCGCGTTAGTTTAAATAATTGAGCGATAATCGTTTCTTTCGGAGAGGTTAAAGTTATTTTAGCTACGTATCGCACAACGAAACATCGGTTTTACCGTTTATACGAGGCAATTTCAACGAACTTTGTAAGATCGGTGCGTTGTAGGAAGATGACGACTTCGGTGAATGTTTATCGTCGTTGTGTTTATCGAAACGTGATAAGGTTGGTGAACGTAAAAAGTGTAAAATTGTGCTGAAAATTTGATCGTCGTTCTTACGAGACATGCTGTTAATTCTCTTCAAATTTAAATTCAACATGGCGGCAGTTCTTCGCGGGAAATCTAGCTATTTCCCGACGAATTCAAGATAGCATCAATCGGTAAGGGAGCTATGTAGTATCATCGAAGGATAACGTTGCAACCTGGTGCTTCGGTAAGTTTTTTATACTTATCACCGCTACGTGGCGTTGACGTGAACGATTCGCTTTAGAAACGCAATAACCAGTAATTAATAGTTGTTTTAAAATTCACATCTCGAATACTGCGCATGTGCAAGCATTTTCCAAACCTATCCTTGGTATCTGCAGAAATTCCGTCGAACAAAAAATGAAAGCACGTGTAGTCATTCTCGTTAGCGAAACATCGAAAGACGGTACGAAAATTATTGGGTTGCGCGACGGTAGCGAGCTTCGGTTGAAAGTTCTTATCAGATAGTACATTGTTTAGAACGGTCTCGTTTCGTCCATATTTCCATATTTGCTTTATCATCGCATCGTGAATTATAAATGGACAACTGAGTTACACAGAATCTGGTTACAAAAACGACCGTTACGCACTGCAAACCTCCTCCCCTGTTTTTCAAATCGAATTACTCCGATTGAACGCAGAAAAAGTAATTATGTTTCGTGCGGTGTTTCGAAATTCAGCGAAATTGTAGAAAAAAACCCCGGGTACCGTATTCCCTTGGCGACGTCTCGTGCCCTGTAATTTCAACGGTATTTTACAAATCGCATCTATAATATGCATACGTACGCACGTAGACCTAACCTAGCTGAACGACACGCATTGCTTCTAATGCGACAATATTAATAATTCGCTCGATAACTCGTTACACCTACTTTCTGGCAATATCGTCGATAGTAAATTTTACCGTAGTTCAATTAAGCCGTGATCAAACAACACGGTTCTTTGCATCGCGGTTGTTAATTAGGTAAAGCAGAGAATCACGAAGGTTGGGTTGGTACATAAATGCCAGAGTAGAGGAATCTTGAACGTACAAACGCGGTTATTTCTTTTCTTCTCATCTTTTGTTCAAGGTGGGGGAGGTTAGGTTGGAGAAAAGCGTGCAAGTAATTTGAGGCTTTATTGCGGAAAAGCTCGGTAATTTTACGAGTTTTCCAGTGAGACGAATTAAGATTTGCATAACGTCGGCGCGCCGCTCGGACCTAAGTGTCGAGAAATGCAAATGTAGCCTCGTGCTTAGAACTTTCTCCCTCTGCCCTCGAAGCGGCCCTATTCCACCCGGAACCCTGGCCCGTTAGGAGGGACGACGACGAAATCGTAAAGGATGTCGAGAAGCCGGAGGACGACGGGGCGAAAATAGCACGTCCTATGGTATTATGCGAACGTAAGATCTGGACCTCCTTCGACCGAAATTTCAGCACGATGAAACGAAAGAATCTTCCACGAATTTTCCGTAGTTGCGCGCTCGGATAGAATCTTGGCTTTATTGTTCGTAGGCTAGTTTGGAGGGAATCGCGTGTTGCTCTCGCACGGAGGTATCAGAGGGAGTTGGATACTTTCCGCGATCGTTAGCGTAAACTGGCCGGGTAGCGGCGTATACACGCGTGGCTCAGGTGCATCTGATTGCGTCAATAATGAACACAATTGGTGCTCACCTGCATGACTCGTCGAATACGCGTTTAATCTGTTTACCGAAGCCTGGTTGCCGCTATCGCTGCGCTTATTGTTAGTTTCCTCGCGTTTGTCCACACGCTAGACACGAAGATAGCCAAAAATCGAAGGATTCCACGGTAACGAGCGTTCATTGGGAGATAAATTAAGAGGAGGATTTCGAATACGGCAACATTGCATCGGTGAGTCGGGGAGGGGAAAAGTGAAAGGGAAGAGAAGTCGAGAGCGTATTTACGGTATATTTTCGTATCGCCTACGGGCTGGTCAAACGTCAATTCAGCCCCGCTGTATTCCCTGCACGCCGCAGAATCAGTGGGAGGTGTATTTTTCGCGAGAAATCTCATGTCCGGGTAAAGTTGTTGGTTATCGTGCGACTCCACGAATACAACGAGCCGGATCGAATGGGACGTAGTTTCCTTCCGTTTCCCTCTACCAGCTTTCGGACTCGTTCGAAAACTCCACCTACTCTCCCTACATACATACATACAGATTCCACAGTTCGCACACCGATCCTCCCCTCGAGGATCTTGGAGCGTGTATCGCTTACAACGGCGAGATAGAACGCTAACAAGAGCGTTTCTTGATATTTGGCCCGTGAAATGCGTGGCTGGTGATAGATTCAAATTTTATTGAATTATACAGCGCATCGGAGAAGATCGTTTAAAGTACAAGCAAATGCTTTCACGATCGGAAAGAGAGAGAGAAAGGGAGCACGACCTCATTTTTCGATCCGTTCCTCCGAGAATGCTGCTAATTCTCCCTTTCAACGTTGGCCATTGGTACATTCCGTTAATGACGAAACACGATTTTCGTCTAATTTCCAACGATAATCGCGAAGCATCGACGTAATCAAGATGGTGACAGGTTGTTCCTAGTAGATTGCTGTTTGCTACGAGCCTCGTAGTGTAATCGATCGTCGTGTAAATAGGCGTATTCGTTCGTTTAAAGGCGAACCGATCGCTGCTACATTAGAAGCGCGTGCAAATATTTTTCCGCCGAGCCTAGTTCGCAGAAGCGGGGTGTGCAGTTTGAAATGAGAAGCGATGAAATTTTACTTCAGTCAACTGCGCGCGTTCCCTGGGAACTATTTGTGTGGGCGAACTATTCTAGAAATAGAAATATTCCGATACGTACTCGTAGAGAATTGATACTTTATCAACGTTGTCAACAGGGAAACGTTCCTAGGTACCGCGGCCGAAGATTTACAGGTTTTTTCAGGTACGAGCTTCAAGTGGAACTAATCGTCGGATACCTGTGATTGATCGGAGGTGGGCGAGAAGGTACGTAAGGTGGCAGCCGCAGAAGACAATGGCTCCGAAAACGTTTAATACCGGAACGCGTCCGTATGCCTTCGGTGCACGATATGATTTATCGTTCGGAGCAAGATGCGCAAGAATATAATGCCGGTGATTTATCGTTCCATTATTCGGTTTCTGGGCTTGCGTTCACGACAAAGTGGCGAACGCTTTAGTCTCGCGTCACTCGTAAATCCCTAAAGAGGGCCGATTTTGTGCCAAACGTATTCCACTCGCTCGAGATAAACCTCGTTTCCCTAAAAACCAGAGACAGCCGAGATCATTTCGTCGCAGCTAACCGACTAAAGAGCAACTCACCTAGTCTCTAGTTGCAAATATTCTCCGAACTTTCCTGTAATTGCGTTCTCCTACGGCAGGAATCTTACTTGGTCCTTTTGCCCTTGCGCTTCTTCCTAAAACGCTGCTTCGGTACAATTATGGGCGGAGTTGGCCCTGGTTCGGGCAGAGGAATGTAATTTCGCGGCGCCTTAAATTCAATTTCGAGCATGCTCTTCAGATCGTCATTGGGCATAATGTGCCTTGTAGTCTTCAGCGAGAGCATCTCTTCGTCGGGCTTTTTCACGGGTGGATGCTGGTCCGGTGTCACGTGAACCTTCGTGCAGCCCGGCTTGCATTTCTCACCTGAACGCAACATTTCCCTCTCCCTTTACGTTTCTCTTTTCATCGAAGATGCGACCTACGAGGATGTATACCTTCCGAGTCCGCGCAATTAAAGTCGAAGCTGCGCTTCTCTTGCTTCTCTTGCCCCTCCTCGAACTTTCCTCTGCTTTTCGGTATTTTCACGGATAGGAGGTTCTCGTCGACTTGGTGCGCGACTTCGTCGTAGGGAGGTTCGGCGTGCGGGGGCGGGCATGTTGGATGGAGACATTGCGGACAGACGCAGCAGTTATCCGTCATGTTGTTCCGAAATGTCGTCGATGCGTTTTCTGTCTTTTAGAATTTCGAGGTCCGACGTGCTGCGGTTGCCATTTTCCGAGGAAACATTTGAAGAGTGCAGCGATCGCGATATTTGAACGTTTCGCGAATGAAAGACCGCCGATTGAAATTGGGAGCGTATCGAAAATTAGGGCGCTGCCACGGAACGACTTTGCCTTTCAAACTTTACAATTCTAATTGGATATTAATCGTTGAATAGAGGTGAAATTGCGGACCGTTGCAAATCACTCGCTGCCTTTCGCCAGCGCGAATTACCCACTCGAATAATATTTGCGGCGAGGCTGGAAACGGGGATCGAAGCGAAAATGTGTTGCGCTGCTGCGTCCAAGTTAATCGATTCTCGAACAGTGGAGAACGTAGAGAGAGTTATGCCCGAATTACGCGGTACGCTAGTTTTTTCACCTAACCAACCTCGACGAATGTGTAGTATTACTTAATAATATTCACTTGCACGGTAATTTGCCCGTGCTCAGCTTCTGTAGCCAGCCACGGTAACGCGTATAGAAAATATTAATTAAATTAGCTTCGCTGGAATATTGTTGAAGCTTCTCCGTATTAAAAAGCGTATTTAATTAAAATCTGCTTCCACCGCGGTAGGCTATCTGTGGCGCGGGCGCGATGCATCGCGACGGAGGAACTATGTGCCGTGCTTACAACCCTTTTCGCCGACTTGAAAAGAGCAATACCTCTGTTTAGCCAGATCCACTTTGCGTTACACTTTTTACACCGTGTGACCAAAGTTCCGGGCACCAGGACTACAATCGAATTATCGGCTTTTCAATGAAATTCTTCGGCCGGAGGGTCCCGCCACTTTTCTACGGAAACTTTTCAAGCTAACGCAATTTCTCGTGTAATTGGAAGATTAATTTGATGAATTAAACGGTCTGCCCGGAGTTCGTTTAAGTCGTTACACCGAGTGCGCGTATAATCGCTTCAACTCGATTACCTTGCTTTTCTCTTTTCTTTCTCCTCCCTCCCTCCCGCCGCCCTTGCTGCTCTCGAGCAACGCGTTTATCCCAGCGGCGCTTCAAAGTATTACGGTATATCGCACCCTTGCTGCTTTGCGCATCTCCCCCACTTATTAGCATAAGAATAAAATTTCGAGGAAAGGCCGATTGTCTTCTCAATCTTCTCTTCGGAACGTGCCCCGCGATCCCGGTTCTCACTTTGTCCCTTTTTAAATATTACGGCTCCGCCGTAGTACGTAACGCACGGCAAGAAATTCAGCTGGCACGCGGCGGATCTAGGGACGAGCACACAACACGGCCCGCTTAATATTTTTCATTCTCCTTGCTCGTAGCGCGCGCGATCCAAGATAAGGGCGAAGAAAGCGGGAAAAGCAGGGATGTAGATGAGAGGGAGGGTCTTAAACGAGACAAGGGTCGACGGGACAGGATCGTTGCTTTCCTCTGGAAAATTTCTTCTGGACACGAGACACCGCAATGTCATCCTGCCGAGTGCACGGATTCATATTTTACGGACGAATATACAGAGATTGCTCTCGTTCGACGACCTAACGCGTTCCGTTCTCGCTTTCAAACAATCCTCGTTTCGCTCCCCTTTCTTCTCATCCTTTCTCGCCGCTCGAACCAGAAACTTTTATCCTTCCACTTGTTCCATTAGTCCTCGATAAACACGCTCGATTACCTGACTTTAAGTTTTTCTCCGTCGATGTTTCTTTTAGCTACTCTCGATCAACTGGTCTAAAGGTTTCGCGTTATCGGACGATTTCTGTCGCCTCCTCTATCCGACGTTTTAATCTTGGACTTAAAGTGGTTTCCACAGGGTACGATCGTTGAGGAAAAGAGATTCGAAAATTCCATCAATCTCGCGGCTCGTCCACACGCCGATATTTGATGCGCTCTATCATGGAGATATGCCGCGTGCACCCCGGAAGGGTATGCTAATGCTATGCGCCGCTTTCATAACGTCGCCAAGTCGTGTTTTACTTTCATGAACTTCTTCTTCGACCTGTCAATAGTTTTGCCAAAAAGAAACCTCCGACAGTTTTGCAATGGCCGCCTCTCGTCTCTCCCTCTGATGGTTTGCTTAAAAAGTCAAGTGGGTCTGGTTCACAAGGCGTCTCTTTTTTTCCCCTCTCCCGTTGAAAGAGCAAAACGGGTTGAAATTAATTTCAGCCTTCTCCGTTCGGCAACCGTTTCTTCCTCTCTCCCTTCTTTCTCGCGGCTGCGCAATTTTTTCGCCGACTCGAAAGTTTCTTCGTTTTAGTTTCACGCGGTTTATTCATTTTCGAGCACTTGAGTTTGTCAAAACATAAGCGAGCTTTATTTAACCGAGTTGTGGTTCTCCCGGGTATAATATCATTGTACGTCGACGTAGCTATCCATTCTAACGGCTAACGAGGTGGTCGTAATGTCGTTGCGCGAGTTGGCAAGCACAAAACATTTTTAATTAGATATTTCGAAAGAGAAGAAAGTTGCGACACTCTAATTTCGCGGGACTTTGCTAATTTCCCGCAAACTTTTTCGCGGCAACGAGCAATTAACGTTACTCGGCCCGTGTGAAAGTAACTCGTTCCACGGTCGTAAATTAGAATCGACGAGGGGTGTGTAGGTATGTGCGGAATGTGTACTCGCGTCGGTTTGCGGTGTATCGCAAACTTAGATCAGAAGAGAAAAAATTCGGATACCTTTTAACGAGGTCTGAAGCGGTCACGGAGTACTTTACCTCGAACGTTATAGTATAAAAAACACTTGGTTATTCCTCGGTTGGCGTTCGGAACAAGACTGATTCGAAATTCTGATCCGAAGGCGGAGTTAAATTTGGGAGGTGAAAAAATGAGAGAATATAGAAACTCTTTTTTTTTTAAGTAGATGGAGAGAGGGTAAAAGTGGTGGTAGGAGGATGAGGTTATGGGAAATTGCTACTTCAACAATTAGGAAGTCGGAACAACGGATCGTGAAACCGACGTGAAACGGACGTGTCACTCGTCGGCGTCGATACCGTGGCGTGCCGAGACCGATGGCTGTCCTCGGAAAGCGGAGAGGCACTGAGATCCGTTCCGAGGGCAGCCAAAATGCCGACCGACGACGCGAAGGGCGGTCAACGGCCAAAAGTGACTCGAGCGACATCGGCTTTCTGGCAAGTTTACCGAGAGTACGCGTCTCTAACCGTCTCGGCTAATCCTCTAGCTAGTCCGCTTTACAACTTCTTCGAAATATTAAAACAAAGAAAAGGAAATGTTCGGTACGGAACGTAATAATTTCGATTAACATCGACGTGCGAACGGTTTCCCTAAACGGTAATAACGAAGGGGCGATGGTGGTGGTGCTGCATATTTCGTTTCAGCCAATAGCTGGAAGCCTAATGTTTCAAGCTAAACGCGTAACGATTCGACAGCTAATGTACCTACAACCGAATGGTTCGTGCTCTGAAATCATCGAACGATGTATCATGGGATTAATTGCTAATCAGAATATCGATGTTGCATAGCGTTGAGTAACATATCGCGTAATAATGTATTTAATTAAATACAAATCTGTCGCGTATACGATTACAGCCGGCGCGTTTACTCGAGACACAAGTGACGACGAAATACAGTAAATTTTCTACAAGAGTCAGTAAGTTTGGATATAATTTATTTCATGGTATTGTAACAAGCAAACGTTGAATAAATTCATAATTCGTATTAAAAAAATTATTTAACACAATAATTTCAGCTTTATTATGATCATTCTTGATAAATGACCACAGGTCAACTTGATTTTTAATCGTTATAATCTTTCAATTCAGTGTGAATAGAGAAAATGTGTAATATAATTCATTTCATGATATTATAAGAAACAAACGTTGAATACATTTTTGATTTGTGTAAAAAGGATTATTTAACACGATAAATTTAGCTGTACTGTGGTTATTTTTAATCTACGACCACAGGTCAACCTGATTTTTAATCCCTACGAAATTAATTTAACCACGAGTAAGTAACGAGAACGCTGAAACCTATGTTTCCATTGAAGAATTTCCATTGAAATTGTTATATGCAATGTTATAACAAATTGTCGGAAGTATAAATTTATAACAAAATTGTGAAAATTGATAAATTATACCGTGTTACGATAACGGAAATCTCCCGCGAAAATCTCCCGCGAAAATTTCCCGCCTGACCTAACCGACGATTTTGCTAATGACTTTGGGGAGAGGGTACCGCAGGTATATAAGGACCC